TTGCCTTAAACTAATTATAGTTTAAGCGTCTGAGAATGAAATTATGATTTGGCCTTAGACTAAGAATAGCTAAGAGCATTAATATGACCTGGCCTTAAACTAAGAATAGCTAAGAGCGTTGTTATGATCTGGCCTTAGATTAAGAATAATTTAAGAGCACTATTGTAATAGTATCTGAATTGAATAAAATGTGTTGATATGAACTGAATAATATCAAAACTCTGAATGTCTAAAACGAAAATTGTGTGCATGATATCAAAAGATTTGATTATGAATTTAGATTCAGTTTATATGGATGTTCGACGCATTAGATATGCTTACTCAGCTTTACCGCTGAGCGTGTAGTGTGTTTTATTTGCTACACGCAGGTAAACAGAAAGATTAATGTGATCCTGACGGCAGATGGGGCGAGATTGTCGGGATGGATGTGACAAGTTTGAAATGATTTATGATATGTCAATATTAAGTTCGCTTCCGCAATATTGTTAAATACTTCGTACTGTATATGTTATGAAAAATATTATTGAAATTAATAAAGTGTGTTTGAAAAGTTCTAAATTTTACGATTATCAAGTTAAATACTTTAGTCCGAAAGGGGTTGCAGACCTGGACGGATTAGGGTGTTACAATTTGGTTTACCGAGTTGGGTGATATCTTGAAGAATCATGAAGCTAAACTTCAATCATCCAATGACGCCGATACTGTGATGATGGCTACGGCGAACCTCACTCTTCAACATGGTGGTTCGGGGCGTTCTAGTCAGGGCCAACGTGATGCACATTCCGGCCAGTCCACCAATAACAATAACAGGCGTGGTCGTGGGCAGTCCCTGAGCAATTATTCTAGCAATTATTCCACAGGCAATCATCGATCATCAGCGAGGCAGTCAAACTCGTGCCAATTTAGTGCTATCCCGGGCCATGATGTGAAGGACTGTCGCAAATTGGCTCGGTTTCTCCGCACACATGGCATCAGACAAACGCATGCAATCAACGCTACAATGACTACCTCTCGGCCTAGTGGATCCTACACAGGTGCGGCCCCTCAGTGGCTGTTTGACAGTGGAGCCAGTCATCATACTACGCCCACGACTCAAGCCCTTCATTCGTTCTCAGACTACGGGGGTCCTGATGAGATCCGCTTGGGCAATGGTAATAGTCTCCAAATTACTCACACTGGTCACACATCTATTCCAACTTCCTCTCGTAAATTGTCTTTGACTAATGTCTTATGTGTTCCGACTCTTAATCGTAACTTAGTGTCGGTTTCCCAACTCTGCCAATCTAATCAGGTTTCTGTTGAATTTTTCCCCTTTTCCTTTTCTGTCAAGGATCTGAAAACGGGGGCGAAACTTCTTAGCGGCACCAATCATGATGGCGTGTACTATGCACGGCCTGCGGTACCATCCCCTCAGGTGCATTTCCATGGTGGTGGTTCCCTGTCTGAGCTTCATCATAGTTTGGGTCACCCATCTAATAAAGTTCTCTCTTCTTTGTTACGTAGCTGCAATACAACTTTTCCGTTTACTGATGTACAACGGTTTCATTGTACGGCATGTTCTATCAATAAAAGTCATAAACTTCCATTTCATGACAATTCCCTTGTCAGCAAAGCGCCGCTCGAATTACTTTATTCTGATGTTTGGTCATGCAAACAACGTTCTATTGATGGTTATCTGCATTATGTGTTGTTTGTTGATCATTTTACCAAATATGTCTGGCTCTATCCACTTGCACATAAATCTGACGTGTCAAAAATTTTTCCTCAATTTAAAAAACTTGTGGAAACATTTTTTCGCGTAAAATCATAACACTATTTTCTGATAATGGGGGAGAATTCATTAAGTTACGTCCTCTACTTACCTCCTTTGGTATATCTCACTTCACCACACCTCCTCACACTCCGGAGCATAATGGCTCTGCTGAGAGGCGTCACCGTCACATTGTAGAAACTGGTCTTTCACTTCTTCATCATGCTAATATGCCACTCTCTTACTGGTCATATGCTTTCCAAACCGCGGTGTATCTAATCAATCGCATGCCTACGCCTCTTTTAGGATCTCGATGTCCATATCGTGCTCTTTTTGGGGCCGAACCAAACTACCAAAAATTAAAGCCTTTTGGTTGTTTGTGTTTTCCTTGGCTTCGTCCATACATGTCTCATAAGTTACAACCTCGATCAGCTCCGTGTGTGTTTCTTGGTTATTCTACTACACAGTCTGCATACAAATGCCTCGAATTGTCATCTAATCGTTTATTCCTCTCTCGCCATGTGCAATTTATTTCACATATATTTCCTCTATCAAATTCTGTGTCATCTCCCCCTCACTCCTCAACCCCAACGCCATATCCGCTCTTTCCTCCACAATTTGCCACGCCATCTCCTTCTACCTCTTCCACTCCACCCCCTGTCACTACCCCTCCCCAAACAACCACGACCTCCGTTCCAGTAACTTCCTCGTCTCCAGCTCCAACCCAACTGGCCCAGACTGCGGCCAGTCCTGAACAACCCTCACCTACTGCCACAATTATCCCTATCCGCTCCACCCGCCCACGTCGTCCTAACTCTCGCTACTTTAATCCTGATTTTGTCTCCTCTTCGAGTCTCAATGTCACCACCAAGCATCTTCTTCCTCTTTCTCATGAACCTAAGACCATTGCTCAAGCTCTCAAAGACACTCGTTGGAGGAAAGCAATGGATGAGGAGTATCACGCCTTGTTTAAAAATCAGACATGGGAATTAGTGCCTCGTCCTGCCACTCGTCCCATTGGATGTAAGTGGATATTCCGGGTCAAACGGAAGGCGGACGGCTCAATTGATCGGTACAAAGCGCGTCTTGTAGCTAAGGGATATCTCCAAGAAGCAGGGCGTGATTATTTTGAAACTTTTAGCCCTGTTATGAAGCCGGTTACTATTCGTGTTGTTCTCAGTATTGCTCTCTCAAATAATTGGCCCCTTCGACAGTTGGACATCAACAATGCTTTCTTAAATGGTAAACTTGCGGAAGAGGTCTTCATGGAACAACCTCCGGGATTCGTTAGTCCAGAGCAACCCACTCATGTTTGCCGGTTAACAAAGGCATTATATGGTCTCAAACAAGCACCGCGGGCTTGGTATGAGGCGTTGTCTCGGTTTTTAATCAAAATAGGCTTCCAGAAGACTCATTCTGACTCGTCCCTCTTTGTTTATTATTCTGGCGGTGTAATTGCGTATTTTCTGGTTTATGTGGATGACATTATTCTCACAGGCAATGACAAAATTTTTCTTGA